TAGTAGTAGTAGTAGTAGTAACAGTGCTAGAAGTAATAGTAGCAGTGCTAGTAGTGTTCATACTGGTAGTAATAAACGTAATGGTATTAGTAGCCGTGGTAGTAGCCATCGTAGTAGTAGTAGTAGCAGTAGTAGCAGTAGTAGCTAACGCTGGTGGTAGTGCGGTAGTGTTGCTGGCAATAGCACTGCCAAGATTAGCCCGCGTGCTGGCAACGGTGATTGCAGTACCGACAGGCTCGCTCGGGGGTGGTGGTCGTGCAAACATACAATCCACAAATGAAGCAAGTTGCGATTGTTGCTTCTAAGCCCTTCAGAAGACACCTTCTGAGGAGAGGCCCCTGTCCCGTACAATGTTCGGGCTTGACGGTCTAGAGAGGACCACATGCTCAAAGAATTGGGTTGCTGGCTGCTGCTTGGAAACAAAGCAATTTCTATGCATGTCGTTCTTGAGGGTTTAGGGTTTGGGGTTTTCGGGGCTTGAGGGCTGTAGAGGCAATCAAGTTGTTTTAAGGCTGAAGGGTATCGAAAGCTGAGAGGCTTTTAGGGCCAGGGGCTTCGGGGCTTGGAGGCTCAGCTTCGGTTGGGACTTAAGGCTTTGGGGTTCCTAAAACTTGCTTACTTACTTGCTACAGAAAACCTCGCAAATTCGGGTACCCCAAACCAAAGATGAAAGGTGACCCACTCTACTAAGCTTCGGGCCCACCCGAGCCTGGGCCGTGATGGCCGCGCTGCACATGGTGACATCTGCCGAAACTCCCAAACCCTGGCAGCCAGGCTCGGGACAGGCTTCGCGCAGGTTGATGTCGGAGCTTCCGAGAAGTATAAATGCTACATGTTTGGGCGAGACCTTTCTTTCGAGGGGTTTACTGTTAAGGGTTTTATATTGGGGCGCCGCCTGTTTCCTGGATCTCCCATTGGCGTCTATGAGCTGTGATGGGCAAGATCCAGGTCGTAGGAGCTTGAGGTTGAAGCTGTTCTTGGGCTGCTCCACTACGAAAGCGAGCTTCCTTGACTTCATTTTATATGGCTCCTCTAGGGTTTAGGGTTTAGGGGTTTGATGGGGCTCCACCACTCTACCTGTCGGGAGAGGCCAGCTCTTTCCTTCCGAGATTCGCGACACCTCCGTGGGAACTTGAACCCTACAAGCCCACACACTCGTCAGACGTAAGCCCTAAAGAAGGAAATCCGAAAAACTTTCACTCTTCGATTCAATCCCCACACACCATAGGTTCACGATAAGAATCCTAATCTAGAATTAAGATTACGGTTGTATTCGCTACCAGACAGGTATGGAGGACTCCGTGCCACTGAAGCCTCTGCAGCCACAAAAAAAACACCTCAACACGGAAGCAATGTTGGAGCTCTCAGCCCTACACCTGAACTTTCATGCTCCCAATAATATCTCCATAGTGCCCCGAACAAAAACCGTAGAACCTAACAAACTCAGATAAACACTGCGAGCTTTACAGAAATCCGCAGAAAAACCCTTATAAGACCCGTACACTGTAGGAAGCCTCATAAGCCTCAAACAAACCTCAGAAACTCCTGCATTGAAGCCTCCGAGCACCTTCGCCTCCTCCAGCGCGCCGAGCGCGTGGAGCCACTGCTGGGTCTTCGCACAGGCGCCCAGGAAAATGGTGAAGACCTCGACTTCTTTGCACCGAAGGTTCCTCAAAGGCTTGAGGTTTACTGTTTAGAGTTTACTGTTTAGGGTTTAGGGTTCAGGGTTCAGGGTTTAGGGTTTAGGGTCTGGGGTTTAGGGTTCAGGGTTTAAGGTGTCCTCAGAGGGCTCCCTTAAAGGGTTCCTGAGATCGTTCCT